TTTCTTCATGTTTCTTTGTGAAGATAATCATCCAAAGAAGGGGAAAGATGTCATCTTTCCACTTTTCGAAGGAGCTCTGAGTTGATCTTTTTCTTCCTAAGTAAGGATGTGTCCATTATTCTATCTTTTGAGAGGTCAGATCAGCCAACCCTATCTGGTGGTCATCCCTATCCAGAAGTGATTCAGAACAACTACTTAGCATGATATCCTTCTCTTAGTATCACTATCCCTTCTGACTCTTAAAACAAACAAATGCCTGGGATTCCAAAATCAGGTCCAGGAATAGCTGACGTGATCTGAGTCACCAAGTCAAGAGGCTGAAAGGACTCTCAGAAACACAGGAGTCATGTTTGCCCCAATCTTCCTGAATTGAAGACCATATTAAAGGTCTGAAGAACTAAAGATCCCCATGTTAGCTTCCCTCTGTGGCTTAACCAAGCAATTTAAACTTGTTTTTTAATAAAGAGAAATTGTTTTCAAAGAAATTTTACACAAAAACCCAATTATGCAACTCATGGAAATTGTAGTTAAAAAAATGTATTTTAAGTTCAAATTCCTGACATTTGTTTCTCAAAAAGTAAATCAATAAACACCAGTTAATATGTGCATAACATATTGAAATATTTTAAAAATTTAGAGAGCAAGCAGTAGTTAATCTGTTAAGATAAATCAGAATCAAATATATATGAATAATAATAGCTAACATATATGGAGTACATACTGTGCTAAATGATTTGCATAGAAGTTTAATTACTATTTTTATGTAAGACATTTTCCATATGTGTATATACATATATATAAGTATATACACACATACACAGACATACACATCCGTTATACACATCCTGGCAGACAAACACTATAATTTCATCATCATTATTTCTGCTTCATTAATAAAAACCCAAGGCTTTAAGAAGTAAGATTATGTGTTCAGTCACACAGCTAGTAAGCAGAATACTTAGGATCTGAACTCAGAGCTCCTGTGCTCAACCACCAACCCAAAATGCTGTTGTAGTTCCAAGAAGCACCATTTCCAGAACTGCTATTCTAATCTATTCACATATTCTTACAGTACAAGCATAATTAGCACATTAAAATATGTTTTTCACAATAACACTTTTAGTCATTGTAGTGAGGCAATGGCCTACGACCATTAATGCGTCCAGAGGCAGTATTTGCTTAACACGGTCGTTCTACATCCTACCATTTATTGTCCCATGTGACCCACAACATTCCCTGTAATACTGATTCAAAAACCAAACTGTAAAATTATGTAACTTTCACTTTAATTCATTAGCATCAAAAAGACACCAGTGCAAGGGGAAGTAAAAAAATAAAACAATAGTAGATTTACTTAAAATAATGAACCCTGTGGATAATATGCAATATAAACTTGTCATAAGGTATTTAATGGGATCTATCTTGAAACTAATGCATTTACTCTAAATAAAACTCAAAC